CCCTAGACCCGTAACCCTAAACCCGAAACCCGAACCCCTAAACCCTAAACCCTAAACCCTAAACCCCTAAACCCTAAACCCTAAACCCCTAAACCCTAAACCCTAAACCCCTAAACCCTAAACCGTGCTTTCCTCTAAGGTTGCAACCTTCATCCTTCCCATGACCCACTTCTTCTCCCTACCCGACTACACCTTCGAAGAACTTGAGGCCGGGCATAGTAGGGTTTTAGTAGTTTGGGGGTTTAGGGTTTAGGGATTTTGGGGGTTTTGGGGGATTTTGGGGGTTTTGGGCTTAGGGTTTATATAGGGGTTTGGGGGTTTAGGGTTTACGGTTTGGGGATTTTGGGGGTTTTGGGCTTTGGGTTTATATAGGGGTTTGGGGGTTTAGGGTTTAGGGAGTCGGGTTGAGGGTTTAGGATCTGAAAGCGCCCCTGCCACAGGTGCCGGACTGGGTATTCCCAGTAACGACTCCAAAGGAGGAGGGCCATGATGGCCGTGCACGTTGCAGATCTCAGATAGTATCCTAAATGTAGGGTCGAGGGATCTCCGAAACCCTAAACCCTAAACCCTAAATCCCAAACCCTAAAACCTAAACCTAGGTTTAGGGTTTAGGGTCGATCTAGCTCTGACGACAAGCCTCGTCGCGTGCGAGGAAGAGGCACAAGACAACCAGGAAGACCTTGTCGAGATGCTCAGGCGGCCCAGGGTTAGCGAAGCCCTTTAGGCTTTAGGGCTTCGGGTTTAGGGTTAGTTTAGGGTTTAGGCTTTAGGGCTTCGGGTGTAGGGTTTAGGGTTCCAAAATCCCTTATCCTGGACCCCTGGCTGCCGAACCCAGATTTTTCGGTCCGAATGTGCCTTTAATTAAATATGCTCATAGGTACCATCTTCTTAATTGCGGTTCTATTTGATGGGTATGATTGCCGTTGGTCGTCCTGGTACGACCTCGTCCCATGACACACCGAGGCAAGCGAACCAAAAGCCGGGCCTTGCGCTCAGGGCCGAGAGCATGACTGAGAATGGAACGAAGGGTTTAGGGTTTAGGTTCTAGGGTTTAGAGTTTAGGGAACGAAAGCCACGACTTGTAGTTGAAACTAGTTGCAGTAAATATCGGGTGCGCAATGGCTGATGCAGGAATTCCCGTATACTCGCTATACAGTTGCGGTATATACGTAATTCAAGGAACCCCTTACCTCCAGGAATACACTACCGGGTTCTGTTGCTTTTTTTCAATGTGTCCGAGGATGGCTAGCTTCTGCGAGCTGGTTGTGTGGACGTTCTGCCTGCAACCAGCCGGGGCGTGTCCTGCCTGCAGGGGCTCAAAGGGTTAAGGCTATAAGGCTATAGGGCCAAGGGATTGGCGGCTTGCGGTTTTAGGCTTCAGGGGTCTAGGGTTTCGGCTTCTCATAAGATTGCAGGTGTTTTGGCGCACTTCTGTGTCAGTATAGTCGTACGACCAAGAGCATCGAAGGTATTGCCAGCATCAGTGCCAAGCCCGCCGGTCAGCCCTCGACTTGGATCCCAGAGTATTATTCCGTATCATATAAGTATTATTATTACCATTCAATTAAGCCTTACAGCAACCCGTAAAGGGACCCCATCAGCGACCCGTCACGCAAACCTCAGCAGTAGTAAACCGAAAAGGGTAACCCCCAGGGGAACCCCTTGACTTCAGATGTGGGCCTTGCCAGGAGGTCTGGAGGAAAGCATAGTCGAGCCCATCAGCCGCCGTTGCCTCAAGCAGTTCCAGTATCGGAAAGGCCGAGGCATGCCTGGAGTCCTTCCATGGAAGAAGTGACATTATCCTACGTCATATGACAGCATGTCATGGAATATCTTAACATGGCACATCGTACCATGTCTTATCGTAGCATACCCCACTATCTCAGATCGCGACATATCTTACCATGACACACCAATCACATCATACCATATCATATCACACCGCTTCGCAACATATGGCACCGTATCATGACATGTCTGACTTCATGTCATTGCATGTCATGCCGTATCATAGCATACCGTACCATACTGTATCACATCATACCACCTCATATCATGCCACGCTGTATCACATCTTACCACGTCATACCATATCCCCCCGCATCATACCATCATGCCATAGCATGTCATACCTTGTCAGATCATATCATATCATCTCATATCACATCATATTGTATCATGTCACACCCTGTCTGATGCCTATAATATGTTATATCAAATTGACCTAACCTTTTTTAGTTTATCACGTTATGCGATGTTGTTGACAACGCCTCAGGCTTGAAGCCCGAGCCTTTCGCTGATCCTCCGGCCCAGCGAAAAGGCCTCATGCAATACAGGGGCCTTAGTAATTAGAATAGGATTTAGTTTGGGGGTAAATTATACTATAATTATAGTTAGGAGCCCGCCAAAATAGTACAGGTAATTATGTAGGCCCTTATATTAATCGCTACCTGCTGGGCAGGTTTGTCGTGCTTGCTGAAGGGGAAACACTCACAGGCGATCCGGGCACGGTGGTGGTTGACATGACACCATCACCTACCAGGACCTTAGTTGAGATGCCTCCAATTTCACGCAGGCCGTGTTTGTTGGATTCTTGCCTTCAGCCACTGCGACAGGACGGCCAGTGCAACTGAACTGCACAATCGCCCTGCCCCTTGCCAGATCTGAAACTATTCCGAACCCGATCCAAGGCACCTGCTCAACTGCAGAAAGATCTGTCCGCCGCTGCAGTAGAGGCCCCTTTGGCCTCCTTTCGACACAGGGGCATGTTATGGGGAATCCCGGCATTACCTGAGGTGTACTGTAAAACTGAGAAGTATCCTCCGCGGATTTTCGACGTCGCTTCAGGTTGCGAGACTACTTTATCCGTCGAGATGTGTTTTGGTGATGTATGTTTGCAATGTATGTTTGCCGTGTATGTAAGCTGTATGCATGCAGGGGTGTCTGTATGTCTGCATTTCCGTGTGTATGTATGTAGGTATGTCTGGCTGTCTGTCTGTCTGTCTGTCTGTCTGTCTGTCTGCCTGTCTGTCTGGCTGTCTGTCTGTCTGTCTGTCTGTCTGTCTGTCTATGTCTGTGCGTATGTATGTATGTATGTATGTATGTATGTATGTATGTATGTATGTATGTATGTATCGTATAGCATTGTATTGTATTGTATTCTATTGTATGTATGTATGTATGTATGTATGTATGCATGCATGCATGCATGCATGCATGCATGCATGCATGTATGTATGTGTGTATGTATGTATGTATGTATTCATGCATGTATGCGTGCACGTGTGCATGCAGGGGTCATGAACGAACACTACCATCATCGTCTTGACAGCCACGACCGCCGCCACCACCAGCAGCATCATTAGTATCATGCTGTTCAGCATCATCATCATCACCACCATCACCATCACCATCACCATTATCATCATCATGATACCATCATCATCGTCATCGTCATCATCATCATGATCATCAACCTGATCATCATACTCATCATCGTCATCCTGATCATTATTATTATCATCATCATCATCATCATTGCCATTGTCATTGTCCACGTCACGGTCATCGTCATCGTCATCGTCGTCGTCATCATCGTCATCGTCACCATGGCCATCAAAACCATCGTCGCTGCCGTCAGCGCTATGATCATGATGACGGCTGTGATGATGACGGTGAAGATGATGGCCATGACGGTGTTCATCTGCATTTTCATGAATGCTAGCATTTTCGCTGCTGGTGATCAATGCTAGTATGGCTGCGGTTATGATGATTGGCATGATGGCAGTCATTAGGACTGTTCTTCTTCGTCTCATTCTTGTTCTTCTTGCTCTTCTTCCTCTTTTGCTGTTTCCCAAACAGTTTGGTAACGAATGCTATGGCGCCTTGGCATTGGAAGTAGTACTGGCCTCGCGGCGGTGTCTCCGTCGGGCATGCCGAATTCGTTGTAAACTCGACACTTGGGTGGCTGTCATTTGCTCAATCGCGCTCCTGCGACAGTGCCGTGTGTGCTTTGTTGTGTTTTTTGTTAAAAGTGTTGAAATCGGGATCCCGCCGCAGCCTTGTGTTCCTTTTGGCTTTCAAATCGCTCGAAGTCGTTAAAGCCATGGCAGGGCCAGGCTATTCGGCGCGTCAGCGCTGGAGTGCCGCATGCGCGTTGGGGTGCTTATCCTCTTCCCGTCTTGCTCAATTGCCTTGTGCGTTTTGGGTGCGAGTCGTGTTTAGGCAAAAGAAAGCGTGCACAGTCCAGTTCCAGCTTTGGGGTGCAACGGTGCGGTGTGTGTTATGCGGTGCCAATCGTGCCGCCGCAAGCTTGTGTCTACGCCGGCAGAACCTTTGCTATATGTCAACATATGACAACTTATTCGCAAACCTTTCTTGTAAACTACCATGAAATCAGGATCCCCGTCGCAATCGTAATTCCTAAAGGAGGGCTTTTTACATAGTATTGCTTCCGTATGCCATTAAGGGTGTATATGCAAGAAATGCTGGATCTGTCGCGAATTGCAGAGATGCGTGACGTGATTCTTCTTCCTTGTGTTTGACTTTGTGCCATGACGTCCATATCTGTCATGTCGCGCTGTCTGATAATACTATCTACTGATTGCTATTGCCGTTGATTTTCGATCTTTCTGGGCTGTCAGAGTTACTTGTGAACGTTCTACACGTGCTTGCCCCTATCCTGAAACCCTGAAGCCCTCAAACGTAAATCCTATCAACCCTAGCCGCCTGAACCTCTAAACTCTAAACCGTCTATTGAAACCCCTCAACCCCGAACCCCCAACTTCAAACCCACAGATCAAAACCCTGAAACCCCACAACCCTGAAGCCCTGCAACGCCGTGAGGAGGGCGTTCCAGACGAGCTCGCCACACTTCAGCCAAGTCAGGCGAGATCTCATCCTTTATTTAGCGATGTTTAGGGTTTAGGACTACAGAGTTTAGGGTTTAGGGGTTTAGGGTTTAGGGAACCGTAAAATCTAAACCCTAAACCTATTTAGGAGTTCCCACTAGGAGCGCAGGTTGCTACTCCCAAAGTCGATGCCCTGTCTGCATGGGTCCTGCCGGAAGGTATGGGATCCTCACTCACCCTCCGGGCTTGCCAGAGGTGGGGCTTCCGAGAGTCTGCCTGAAGAGCGCGAATGCTATATATTTAGTTTAATCCACTCTATCAGACTCTATCATAATCTCGTAGAATATAAGCTATAACAGTGTATTTTCATAGTACACTGTGGTATGATCAGATATGAGTTCGTATATTCAGTTATAGTCAAACATGCGCTGAAGGAATCTACCGCAGCCTAGTTTCTTGTACACCGAGATGTTGGAACATAGCTTTAGATAGTCTCATACAACCAGAGAAAGCTCAAGCTAGCCTAAGTCAATCTAACACAAGCTAAAATAAGATAATATCGTAGAATATCGTATCATTAAACATGCCACAGCAAAACATGACATTGTAAAACAGGGTAAGCTAGTACAACCCAGCATAACGTGGTACACCAACTTAGAACATAGGATGACATTTGGTCCGGTCCAGTCCCTCGAGGGAAGGCCCGTCTAGTTTATAGTATAGTATCGTATCTTAGAGTAGACAAGAGTAGAGTATAGCATGATACACTATCATATGAAAGGGTCTACTGTCGCGTGTCATTTGGAACCTCCCGTTGCTGTAGCTTGCCGCGACTACCACCACTATGACTTGTTAGCAGCAGTGCGCAGAAGCTTTCTTGGTCAAAGACTTCTGTGAGGTGCCAATCCTCGGACAGGCTCCCAGGAATCATGTGCACTGACAGAGGTGTCCCGTGAGTATAAGTTCGGCCGTGCGAAGACCGAGCTCTAGCAAGAATGAGACGTTGCCAAAATGAGGGTCGCTTGTGTGGCGACGTTTTGGGTATCCGATCTAGCACAGTGCGTCCGCGCTGAAGACAGTGAGCCTCATTTCGAACACCGTCCCACTGATTGCAGTTTCAGCCAGGGGTAGTTGAAGGGAATTGGCGGGAGGCTGTGTCTCTGACAGCACTGACGGTTTAGGAGGGCTGCCCGTTGTTAGTGGACTTGGCCGCCCCCTGCTTCTCACGACTACCCAGGACCACTCCCCCCGCTTTTGGACGCGCAAAGGTTTACCGCAGCCGTCGTTTCCGGAATACGCGCCTCAAAGAGGTGTGCAGATGTTCGAAAGGCGCCGCGTCGGAGGAAAAGATGCAGGAACGAGGGGTCTGGTAAGCTAGTAAAGGGGCCTGAATATATTAGAACAGCGTTTGCTTGTTTCGAGTTCTATAAGGGTTACTATAAGAGATACTTTAAGATCTTTAAGGATCCAGACAAAGGGCCTGGACAATTAATTTGAGTAGGGTCTTGGGCCTGGGGGGATAGCATGATTTTCAACAGCCTGGCTGGCCGGCATGCATTCCGGGGGCGCCGATCTTCGGCTAGAGATGACGAGACCCTTTGGTCCTGAGTTATCGTCGGAGCCCTAAACCCTAAACCCTAAACCCCTAAACTCTCTTGTCCCAAGAAAGAATCGCAGCTCAGGCTCCTCGGTGTGCCCCAAACCCTACACCCAAGGTCGGCTATTTGTGGCAGTGCTCTTCCTGGGCATATGAGAACAGTGGACGTTGTATTGTATGGGCCCAGGGTTTAGCACACGGGTCAAAGAAGCAAGTGCCAATCCCTTTGGGCCCTAAGCCCCAAACCCTAAACCCTAAACCGTACCAAAAGCCCTAAATAAATGACCCATGATCCTGGTTGTGGATACGCCGCTCCCCTGGGCCACATCCCACATACATATAACTGCCACTCCGCGGCCAGACCTCCTAAACTCTAAGCCCCAAACCCTAAACCCGAAGCCTCAGACCCCAAACCACAAATCCTAAACCCCTAAACCCTAAACCCTAACCCTAAATCCTAAACCCCTAAACCCTAAACCCCAAGATACAAATCCTAAACCCGACAGGTAAATCCCAACCCGCAGGAACGCTGGAAGTACTGGCTCAAAGGCCTCAGCAACCGGAGAGGAGTGCGGCGACAGCTCGGCTACCTTTGGGCCCGCTCTCCTTGAGAGCCCCGGCTTGCGTTTAAGGCTTAATATAGGGGCCTAAATAGTTTAATTACCTATGCTGTATTATATTTATAGTAGAATGGGCCCCAAAACCCTATTCTAATTATTAAGGCCCATATATTAGTGTCTCGGGTTGGGGTTGACGTCTAGGATCTGGCGTTCAGTTTGGGGGTTTTGGGGGGTCTGGGGTTTGGGGTTTAGGGTACCTGCTTAGAGCTTTCTTGGGCATTCCTTTCCGGGTACATACTTGGAGGGTCGGGAGACTTAGTAAGTAGGTAATAAGACTTATAAGTATCCTAAAAGGGACCCTAATTGGGGTTATAGTACTTATAAGTCTGTAAAATAACATCTACAAAGTCCCCCAACCCTCCAAGTAGGCCGTAAGCTTCAGATTGCGAGTTGAGGATTTACGGCGCAGGGTTTGTTGTGAAGCGTGGTGTTGTTCTTCTCTTTAGTCACTTTGGTATCGTTTAGGGTTTAGGGTTTAGGGTGAACCGTGGTGTTGTTCTTCTCTTCAGTTTTGTTTACCAGTTACCATCGTTTCCCCGCATAATGTCATTGTGACAGCAATGCTCAGACTGATTGCTGTCATCACGATCGCTTTTAAAACAGCGATACTCGTAAATTTGTTTCTTATCATTGCTGTCACCATGTTGCTGAAACTTCGGATGTGTTTAGTTTGCAGTAGTGCAGCTGTTGCCGCGGGCGTTGAAACCTTCACCATCGTATCGACTGTGCCTGTTCTAAGTACAAGTGTTACGGCTGTTCCTGCTTTTGTTCCTCTGCTCATGCGACTATTATTGCACGAGTTGATATTCTTGTTGGTGCTGTCATGACTATTGCTACCATCCCTGGTTGCACTAGTGCCAGTGTATGTTTGCTATGGCTAGACGGCTAGCACTGCTTTTGCCACAGAGACTGTCATACTTACTCGTCGCTTTCTTTTGCGAAGATATGCATGCTGGGTCACGGAGCTATGTCATGCCATCCTGCACAGAGTTTGAGAAATTTGAGACGAGGCTGTGGCGATGGCCTATGCACCGTCTAGAAGGCTTGGACGCAAAAGGAGCTCTTTGGAGTTGGAAAAGTGGGTTTTAGATTCTGAAAATACCTAGGATGAGGATAGTGGCGGCAGCAGCAGCAGGTGCAATAGTCATGGTATTTGTGGACGCAGCTGTTACGCCACCTCTAGCGCTGCTGCTGCTGCAGCTGCTGCTGCAGCGCTGAAAGGACTCCTCCTCCATGGAACGCTTTGAATAAGAAGCCTTTCCGAGCTTCTTGAGCGATTCATGAACCCTGAACCAGGAACCTTCATGAGTCGTTCTTACATCGTTGGTACTGTGGCAATGCCCGAAACCGCCAGGCGGACGGCTCTGGCCTTTGGCGTCAGCAGCTTGATGGTCTTGGCCTTCTGTGGTCGGAAACTTTGAGCCGGGGTTTAGGGTTTAGGGTCAGGGCGAGTTCTGACAAGATCCCGTGAAACCCGCATCAATCAAGCTACAGAACGACGTTTACGTCGCAGCTGTAATTGTACTAGTGTGCTCCAATCACCCCCAACTGTGGCTCTGAATCACCGGAAGTCGAGAGAAATTTCCCTAAATTCCGAAATCCCCAAGCTCTACACCCCAACCCATCAACACCTGAGCCCCTTAACCCCTAAACCCCCCAAACCCTTAAGCCCTGAACCCCAAACCCTAAACCCTGAGACAAAAGCTCGTGACAAGGTCTGCAGAAGTCCTTCGTGGCCCTGAGCCCTGCGGGTGCAGCTAGCCCTCGCTCAGAGGTCCAGTGTTTGCTGGGGTTTGGGGTAAAGGGGTTAAATTAGGGTTTAGTTGTTTGGGGTTTAGGGTAAAATGGGTTTAGGGTTTAGTTGTTTAGGGTTTAGGGTTTAGGGTAAAAGGGGTTTGGGGTTTAGTTGTTTGGTGTTTGGGGTTTAGGGTTCTACAACGGTTCTGGAGTGGCAAAACGGGGGTAGGGCGAGGGTGCTGTACCGTCTCCACAACGGGCCCTATCAGGGTAATATATAACAATGGCACTCGAAGTGGCGCGAGGGTACTGCAAGGGTACTAAGCTCAGGTTATCGGGTTCGGAGCATAGGGTATTGGGTTTAGACAGGGTTTAGGGAAGTTTAGGGCATAGGGTTTAGGATGCAGGTGAGGTGGGCTTAGAGTCTGGCGCCTACAGAGGCCGAGCCGTCGCAACAGGTAAGACGGGTAAGATCTGCCGGCGACTGGGGGGCTGCAATCATCTAGAGAAGGCTTTTGGGGTAAGGACTAAGGCTGAGTACCTAGAGGATCCCAATACCCCGTAATTAAGGAATATACCCTAAATCATAATATTAAGGACCCTATAATTTAAGGTATATTCCTTAATTAAAGGGTATTGGGTTCTCTAGGCAAGGACTATGCCTACAAGGCGATGTTTCTTGCAAAACCTGGGATCTCGCCAGGATCCTAATACGCGAGTGACGTTGTGGCAGTGACCCTAAACCCTAAACCCTAAACCCTAAACCCTAAACCCTAAACCCTAAACCCTAAACCCGACTCACCAACCACAACCTCACTCCAAATCCTCAGCCCAAGCTGCATTAACCCGACCAGCTCCCTGAAGGCACCCTCAACCCCGGCCCGAAAGGTTACACAATACTATGAAAACAAACTAACCCTAATACGTTTAGGGTTTAGGGTTTAGGGTTTAGGGTAATAGTACTAATACAAATATTACTAGTAGTACTAGACCTGAACTCCACACATGTGCGAGGTCCGGCTGCCTGCCGGAGCAGGCTGGCTCTGCGAAGAGAGTCGGAGGGGAAACGCCGAGAGCAGCTGTCTGGTTTGGGTTTTGGGAATATTGCCTGTAGTCTCCATGGTAGTTCCGTTTTGGGGATACCTTATGAAATCTTTAATAAATATTTGGTTAAACCAAAAAAAGGAACTACAATGGCTACAGGTGATTCTCGAGAATACGCATGTCATTTAGGCGTAAATCTCCCCACAACCCGGCAAAATCTGAGTTGCAAGGGCAGCAGCAGACGGCTAGAGCTGCACCACCCAGCGCGTCCGTGGCCAGCTGGGGCATTCCAGCTGCGTGCCCTCCCTAGCGCAAGGTGGCGAGGGTTACCCTAAACCCCAAATCCTAATCCCTACGTGTGAAACCCTAAAGCCTAAACTCTATAAGCCTCAAACCCTACACCCAAAACCCTAAGCCTTAAACCCTATAAACCATAAGCCTTAAAACCCTAAACCCTTTGAGCCTTCAGCCTTTGATCTTGGCGTTTGGGGTTCGGAATGTGTTCAGTTTTAGTATGCCGGAATACAAACGTCTTCGATTCTACATGAACCCTCAGTCGCAATAGCCTAAATCCCAAGACCCCTGCCACAAACCAGACCCCAACGGCTACTACGCCCTGAGCCCTCAAAGCCCCATAGCCCTAAAGCGTTATAAGCCCTGAGCGGCTCATGCGACCTCTCCTGGGTCCTTGTTGTCTACAATTTTACCCTAAACCCTAAACCCTAACCCCTAAACCCTAAACCCTAAACCCTAAACCTTAAACCGTTTAAGGAAAAAATGATCATTTTAAATATGGCCCCAACAGGAAACCAGTCTTGCAGCGGCCTGAGGCTTGCTCTTGGTGCGGCAGTTGCCCTGAGCTGAGCTGGATCTGTTTAGGGTTTAGGGTTTAGGGTTTAGGGTTTCATAGAAGAACTGCTCAGAGTTGCGCAGGATGCGGTTCTGCTTGATGTGCCTGCGTTCGTACGGCACGCAGTATCTGGAACACAGATCCCTGACCTCAAGCCCTAAACTCTAAACCCCTAAAGCCCTAAACCCTTAAACCTACAATCCCCTCTTACCTCAAACCTAAACCCTAACCCCCCAAACCCTCTTGAGGTGTTGGCCTCACAGAGTCGTGATCAGCCAAGGCCTTAGGATGGAGTTGTCCTTGCCATCTTCTTTCTTGTCCTCTAAAGAGCATCAAAAATCAGAGAAATTCTGCAGTGCGTATTAGTGCGTTACCTTAGTTCTCCAATACCCAACCTTTAAACTTTTGGGTTCTTATAGTTTGGTAGGAATCTGCAAGTTTAACCGTTTATTTGCCAGGCTTGCTGGGGAAGCAAGTTACCTTGATACTACGTAGTCTGATAGCTACTGCTGTTGCTCCTGCTGTTGTTGCTCTCGCTGTTGCATTCATGTTGCCGTTGCTGCTGCTGCTGCTGCTGCTGATGCTGCTGCTGTTGTCGCTGTTGTGGTTGCTGTTGCTGACACCGACTTGCTGCTGTTATCTTTACTCCTCGTCGCTGTTGCTGCCGTAGCCTGAAAGCCTCAAGAATGAACGCGAGGTCCTCCACCACGATGTACGGCAAGCACGACAAGAAGACCTTCAGGGGGACTGCCCACATGCGACGGGATGCGGATATTTCGGGTTTCCAGGGCAAGGCGTGAGGCTGTCCTTACAGGCTCATGGGTACTTAGAAGTGGGGGCTATTAAGATGTTATAAGTAGGGGTAACTATGTCTATAATCCATATTCGGGACCTTTTGACCCCGCTTATAACTACATGAACCTGCAAGTAGTGCTTAGGGAGCCTCTATAGAACTGGGCAGTTGCTACTGCGTTTTCGGGCCCGGGTCTTTCAGGGTGAGATTTGGTTTAGGTTTTGGGGGTTTAGGGTTTAGGGGTTTGGGGTTTAGGGTTTACGGGTTTAGGGTTTAGGGGTTTAGGGGTTTAGGGTTTAGGATTTAGGGGTTTGGGCTTAGGGTTTAGGGGTTTGGGGTTTAGGGGTTTGGGTTGCCAGAAACAGGTTCGCGGGCATCCATACGCCGCTCCTGGATTCGTAAATGAAGTCTGCAAGCAAAGAGACCTGTGACAGATCATATTTAGGGTTTAGGGGAACAGTTCATATTCGATGATCGTGCATGGTACTCCACAGCGGTATGCAGAACTACAGCGTATATTCGTGCAGAAAAGCGCAGATGCCGCGACACGACAGCACAAGCCACCAGCAAACAAGAATGTGTCCAGGTCGCAGGTTCTAAATCCATGGTTTCAATCTACTCACATTTAGCACAATCTACTTGACTTAGTTCCGACCACATAAAGCGGAAGGCAAAGAGATGGAGCCATGGGCCAACATGTAGGTTGATATGCCGCAACTTCTGCGCGTTGTGTGCCTGCACTTTTCAGCTATCGCAGGAAGCAGCATGCCCACAGCTTCGGTAAGTACCGCATGCGCAAGAACAAGGCGGCTGTTTGCGGTCTTACTGTTGACGATATAAATCCTGCATTACCCAAAAAAAGAAAATTTACCATAATTCCCATGGTTAAGGGTCCTTAACTAATTAAGGTAACGCAGGATTTATATCATCAACCGGAGGGTTTAGGGTTGATGCGTGTTGTCGAAGCCAGGACTCAGGAAGAGGGATGTTCGAAGTACTGTTGATGGACAAAATCCTGCATGACTCAAATATAGTATAGTACCATAAATCCCATAGTTTAGGTATATAAGGTCATGCAGGATTTTGTCCATCAGCCGTATGGTTGAGACCTGCTCCCACTTCCCTTTTGTGCTGCTCTCCTAGCTAGTATTAGGGAGACCCCTTCAATGGGGACCCTTCTTAACCCTACTTCCTCCTCTCTTAAAGAGGGACCTTATTGAGAGGGTCTATATCCCCAAGGGTCCCCCTAATTCTAACTTCCATGCTAATCGCGTGAGTTTGTGCTTCTGCAGGCGCGACGCATCCAGGCAATCAAGCTGCGCACTGAGACGGCTGTTTCGCGTCGCTTGAATTCTGGCAGCTGGACCATCGATTCCTCTGTCAGGAACGGAACCTACGACCCCGAGAATACGCCCCAGAGGGTGGCTCTGATGCGTCTGGCTCTAGAACCGAATATAGGGGCCTTAATAATTACCAATACTATTTTGGGGGTTCCTCATTTCAATCATAGTATCATGGGGACCAACACCCTCTTCTCCCTAATATAGAACAGCACTATAGATCCCTTATAGAACCCTTTAAGGATCCCTTTAAAGGAGGCCCTACTCTACTTCTTATAAGGCCCCTATAATTCGGATTCGGAGCTTCCAGAGACCCGACCTGTCTGCAGGGGCAGCCCGAGCCTGAGCATACTTGGGATTACGACAACATCGTCGACAACCCCATGTCTCTTGGCTACAATGGAGATCTCAAGGTTTAGGGTTTAGGGTTAAGGTTTAGGGTCTAGGGTTAAGGTTTAGGTTTTAGGGTTTAGGGTTTAGGGTGTTGTCGACAACCCCATGTCTCTTGGCTACCAATGGAGACCTTAAGGTTTATAGGGTTTAGGGATCCCCATGTCTCTTGGCTACTATGGAAACCTCAAGGTTTAGGGTTTATAGGGTTTAGGGTTTAGGGGTTACGACAACATCGTCGACAACCCCATGTCTCTTGGCTAGAATGGAGATCTTAAGGTTTAGGGTTTAGGGTTAAGGTTTAGGGTTTATGGTTTAGGGTGCTGTCGACAACCCCATGTATTTTGGCTACAATGGACACCCAAGGGCCCCTGTTCTTAAGGGGTCACTTACTCAATCCATCATACTTTTAAGAGCATTGCCGAACGAAGGTTTTTTTTTGGGGGGGGGGGGGAATCTCCCGAGTTGCAGCATGGAGCTGCTGAGCCCAAAGCAAATTCAGACTCCAGCTCGAGCCTGAACCCCCAGCTTTCCTAAGCCTTGGGGTTTCGGGTTTAAGCTCAAGGGCTTGGTTTCGGGATTAGTCTAGGGTTCGCAGGGTTTAGGGTCAAGGTTTCCGGGTGTAGGGTGCAGCTGCCCTGGCGGACGAATCTCTGATATTCTCCTTGGCCAGATACTACGCTCCGGACTACCTGAAGGAAGTCATGGCTGCACGGAGCCCAGGGTTGCGGCAGCTGTCCAGATGGGCTTGTCGATAGACACGGAAAGGATGCAGAAAAGATGCATCTGCAAAAAACCTAGGTAGGTAGGCAGGCAGGTACGCAAGCAGGTAGACAGGTATATAGGACTGTAGATTGAAACATCTAATTATGCATGCATGCAAGCATGCATGCATACATGTGAGTAACCATGCGATAACACATGCATACATGCACGCACGTCTTCGTACATACAGACATACATGCATATAGACATAAATATATACATGCACACATACACGCATGCGCACATAATTACAGAAGCATGCGCATACAGATGTTCCCATGCAAGTAGAACAAGCATGTGAGTGCATGCATGCGTAGCATGCACATGCACACGGCACACGCACGCATTCAGGCACACACACACACACAAAAGTTTTCGCAAATGCACTCCCTGTTGCTTCCTCCATTTATGTCAGCTTTGCAGCCCCAGCTTTGTTGGCAAAGGTTTCGCGTGCCCTTCTGGCATGTTCCAAGCTGTAATTAAGTTGGATCGGGTTCACCCCGACTACATCAGGATTACTGGGATGACGTGAACGAGGTGATGCGCAAGAAGTGGAAGGACGAGTGAGTGTCGGCAGTAGCACCCATGCTGTGTGCGCTAAAATGCTTCCAGGATCACCTTCTGCAGAGTTTCTTATCAGGTAAGTCGAAGCGGGTCGCACTTTGTGGTGTCATAGCCTGGGAATACATGCTGCAGGATGCAGGAAAACCGACCGAATCGGCTGGCTTATGTTTGGCATATCACGGTCTGCAAGCCCGATTTGTGCGAATGGAAGGAGTACATGGGCATCAAGGGGAACCAGCGGTACTTTAAGAACTGGACCCCGCCTGGAATGGAGCCACCGCCAGAGGCGTCCTGGATTCTAAGCTTCTCTTTGTCATAGTTGGGTAATTAACATTTTACATTTTTAAGGGTACTTAAACCCAATAAGGAAAATAAATGTAAAATTTTTTAATACTACCCCAACCATGAACTAGTTCCTGGTGGAGTGGTTGGCTTTCAGGCCTCATCAAGGAACAACCTGAATTGGGTTTAGTTTCATAGCTTCAGCTTCGTTGACGATGGAGCCTATGCTTCCTTCGGTTCAAGGTGAATTCGAGCACGCCAAGAATCCTAAATCCTGAAGCCTTGAACCCCCATCGCCCCAGTCCTCGAAGTCTCGCTAAACCGTTAAAGCATCCAAAATCCCCTAACCCTCAACCCCTTGACCCCAAACCCTAAGCCCTAAACCCTGAATCCAAACCCCTAAACCCACTCACTTATTCGCTCACTCACTCACTCACTCCACTCCACTCCGCTCCGCTCCACTCCACTCCACTCCACTCCACTCCCCTCCCCTCCCCTCC